TTATTAAATATATTATTATTAAATATATTATTATTAAATATATTATTGAATACATATTATACCTAGTTAAATCGCGCAGATTTGTAAGCTTGTTTTGAAGCAAATTCGAGAGTGTTTCAATATCTTCACAAGCAAAATGACCATCTCGGATCATTTGCTGCCCGCGCTGTATTAAAGATGAAATTAATGGTTCTTGTGATAAAATTTCGGATTCAAGAGCTTGATGTTTTTTTTGTAAGCTTTGGACAGAAGACAGACTAGTTCCTTTAGTGGGGAAATATAAAATTAAATAATTAGTATGATGAAATATTTCAATTCATAAATCATGAAAATAATCAACGTTTCATATAATGGAAAAACACACAAAACTCATTGCTCACAATTGAGATGTCTTTCAAAAGAGATTTAAATAACAAAAGTATCAGAAAATACATTCCGCCCAAAAACATATCTTGCATATTGAATTCTCTCACTGACATTACTTAACTCATTCACTCCCTCTCAAAAAATATCACATAAATTAGCACTTCCTGATAAGTAATTATTATTACTTATCAACATAAATTGAATCTTACCTAAATCTTTAGAAGAAGCTAGCACTTCTTTTTCGTTAAGCCATTGAAGTTCATCCTCTGCATCACGGAAGAAATGGTGCAAATGGAGGGAATCTTCCAAATTGTCACGACGTATAGTCATTGGTTCATGTAATGAATGATAACGCTTCATGGCCATCATAGCCTTTTCATGAATCTCATCTTTCATAAAGTGATTGGAGTTGAAGAATTTGGTATCAGTTTCAGTAATAGAATCGCACATTTCGGAATGGCGATTTACATCTGCCTCAAGAAGTTCATGTTTTTTAAGTAAATTGTTCACCGAAGCCAAATCTTTTCCATAGTCCTCTGATGATAAATGTAACTCAACTTCATCCATCCATCGATTAAATTCATCTAAACTTCTATTGAAAATCAATGCTTCATAAGCCTCTGCTAAGCGTTCTTTTTTATTTCGTGAGGACTCTTGTAACTTTTGCCAATCATTTTCTAGTAGCTCTAATTGTGAAATTATTTCTTTAGATGCAAAGTGTTTATTATCGACTAAACTTACACCTTCTGCGATTGCAGCTTCAACACGGCTTGTATTTGCATTCAATTCAGAGTAAAAAACGGCATATTTCTGAATTTTTCCTTGTAAATTACTTGGTTCTCGATAATCTCGATCATCCAAAGATATTTGTAGTTTTTGACTTAACCATCTTTCAACTTCATATAAACTTCTTAAAAGTTGTTGAAGTTGAAATGATTCTTGTAATTTATTCTTGCGATTCTCAGACTGATTTAAGAGACTTTGTTTTCGCGCCAATACTTTATTCAAATGTAATTCGATTGTATTTTTTTGATTTGGATATTTATCGATAGTTTTCCTTGCAAATTCTTCTAATTGTTTTACATTGTCGGATTTAAGAAGTTTTTCGAACGCTTCGTGCTTTTTAATCAAAGCATCAACGGCAGAAGGTGTATCGCCCAGATCATCATTATTCAAGAATGCTTCTTTATTGCTCAACCATATTTCAATTTGATCGGTTTGATGATTCACCTGTTGTAGCTCGTGGGCTTCCCTCAACTGTTCATGTTTTAAATGCCATTCCTTTTGTACGTTGCTTTTCATATCAACCAAAAGTTTCAAAGTATTTGATACGTCCGCTGCGATTGAATCTTTATTTATTTTCAACTCTTCTCCGCGATTTTGTAATAATTTGAACATTTCATCTCGTCCATCGATTTCAGCTTTTCTTTCTTGATGTAATTCTAACTGTGTTTCAGATTCACTTATTGTTGTGGGCGTAGGTGCAGCATACATTTTTTTGATTATATCGTTGGCCCATTGTTCTATTTCTTTGACGTCCGAAACTAATTTATGTAATTTATATGCATCACTTAAAATTTGTTTTCGTTTCACACTAGTGTTTTTCAAATTCTTCCAAGCTTTCTTTACTTCGTCCAACTTTTTGTTTATGTCGTCAACTTTTTCTGGATATTTTTCCTTCAGATTGTTTGCTTGTTTTTCATCGTCCATTAGTTTTGAATGAATAGCGGACATATCTCGTTCGAGTGCTTCTTGTTTACGTAACAATGTTTGAACCTGCGCCAAATCTCTACCACGATCGTCTGAATTTAAAACAATATACTTTTCAGCAATTCGTTCTAAGGTGTCGGCTATATCACGATTAAAAGCGTGTATTTCATATGCGCCGGTCAGTAATGCTTTATAGGAGATTAAAGCCCCTTGAAGAGCTCGCCATTTTGAATTAAAATTGTTTCGCCTCTGTTGAACTGATTTCAAAGCATTCGGTGCTTGTTCTTGATTCATAAGCTTATCTGCCAGCGTATTTATAGTTTTAATACGTTGATCATCAACACGCATATCAGAGTCGACGTCATCCAATTTACGAATTAGCTGTGTGCAATGTTCCAAGTCTTTTCCACTATCCTTTGCATTAACCATTAGCTCTTTGTCCCGTATCCATGCTTCAATCTACATTGAATTATATTTTTCATATTATAACAATTTAGTACGAAGATTCTTAGAAGATAGTATAGATTTTGGGTGAAATATTCATAAATAGACAACAAATTAAAATTACAGTACGTTTTTTTTATATAAGGTCATCGATTTTTAAGACAAAAATTTCAAATATCTTCAAAATATTCTTGTTGATAGATGGCACTCTGAGCTACGACGCACAACAAATTTGACAGTTCTCAAATCAGTACAGTGTTTGTTGTGCAATCAAATTCCATGAATTCCGAACATTTTTCAAAACGTTTTGAAGCAGTTTTTTACTTTTGCACCAGTTTGGACCAAAAGGGTCAATAGTGAAGGTCACAAAACACATTAAAAAGTCAAGAGGGTTCGTAAAAAATTGAATCCAGCAGTATAAGCACGCAAAAAATGTGAATGGTCGACCCAATGTTAGGCCAAACGAGCTTCCTCGCCACAGCAAGATAAACGGATAGTCAAGTTGTTCCAGGGGAGCGACGTGAAACGTACGCTTAAAAACTTGACATCAGAGCCAGTCCCTCATAACTAAAAATGGTACAAATTCGCAATTGATGGCGCTCATAAATCGACAAACACGCTTACATTTTATCAGAAGAAAAATGAAAAATATTGAAATATTTTCAAAATATTTGATTTAATGATTTTAATTTAAATAAATTTATATGGAGTGACTTCTAGTCCTTCTCTGATTATAATGGTTTTAAAGTACTATAGAAAATATTAAATGTGATATTTGTTGTTTTGAAATGTCGAAAAATGTTGTATTGGTTTATTTTCAAAATGCACAGAAGTTTTCAAGAAGAAATTAGTTATGATTATCTATCTTCTTCTATACCTATAAAACAGAAAGTTTGTATGTATGTATGTCCGGGGTTGGCGGCCAAACGCCTCAACCGTTCCGGATAAAAGTAGTACCGTTGGAAAGGTCTCGGCCGGGCGGTGAACAAAGGCGGTGAACCTAGTGTGTAAGGTAAAGTATTGGAATCGGTCGAAAAATTAACACCCATCAAAAATGTGTTCGCCCCAAAATTCGCTAAAAATCATTTTTCAATGCGTTTTGAGTATAGAAAATCACAGAGCAACCGTTTTTTGGCCATGTTAATGTGGGGATGTGGTACACTGTATGCTTGCAGTAGCTTAATCACAATTAAAACTTGTGGATCTTACTTCTCATCAAAATACATCATTTCACCAAATTGGAAGAAATTTCAATCACAAATAGAAGTCAGCCAAAAAACTCAGCCATAGACTATTTGCGTAATTTAATTTAAAACTCTGCAGAAAAACTCTTTTATACGTCATTTATTGCATTTAATTTTTTTTATTTGTGGAATTAGTATTTTCAATTTTCGAGATGCAACTAACATCTTTCCAACATTTTTCGATTGGCGTGGTATATATGTGTCAAACCAAATCCAACGATATTCATTTATATGTATTAAAAATGTGCTCACATCGTGTGACAGTATTGTTAGTATAAACAACTTCCATCACTTTGAAACTACAATCGCTTCAACCGATTTTGTTTACAATAAAACTTTGTTTTGTTTTTAAGAGGATTTCTTGAGAATTAGATGTGAGTGTTTGTAGCGTGGTTTGGGCGATCAATTGATTTTATTGTCATTTCAATTTCAACGATTTTGTGTGTTCGGAACGCTGTTCGCTGAGGAATGGATATATTCACAGTTGGTTTTGTGTTCATTTTTGTTTTAATTTCGAAACAACAGAGTGTTGATAAAATATACTGTGAATATTCCAACAACATTTCGATCGGGAAAATATTTGATGTCACATTGGAAATAAATTTCATCATTCGATTTAGAACACAGAGTCACTTTGTTGAGGTAAGACGTGATATTTATAATGCGTTCTTCATTACTGTTTCATTTGATTTGTGATAGAAGTTTTTTTATCTTATTGTGTTTGTGATCTATCTTTGGTGCATTTTTTTCTAAATCTGTAACTATTTTTTATTTTCGTTTATTTGTATCAGTTCTTTGAGAATGAAAAGAAAAAGAGATAACAACGATTCGCCGGTATACGATGACGAAAGAGAAGAAAAAAATAATTTCGTTGTAATAAAATGTGGCTTGCAAACAATCCCGAGAATGCAGCAGTTGTGACGCAAATATTGTTTGAGTGCAGTCTTCAAATGACGGAAGTTGCCTCATTGGCCTCACTTTTGATTTTATTCAAGGTGAATGAAGCAGTCGATAATGAAGATCGTCAGTTCTTTTTGCGACGATATCGTCGACAGTTCTTCTTCTATTACTTCAATGCGGTATTGGCCGAAAATGTTTACAATAATAATAGCCGAAATCCCATACCGCCAGAGTTTCGGTTCATGGTCGAAAACTTCAGTGATGAACAGTTTGAATGGCCAAGCAAGGAAAAGTTGGAGAATAGTTTTCGTTATTTTGTCAAACAGCACATCGCAAATACGAAAACTGGTCTCACCACTTGGTGTGAAGGTCGACTTGAGTCATTCTTTCGAATGCGAATCTGGTATCGCAATCACAATATCAATGGACCTAGATTTGATGTCATCGACTTCAGAAATGCCAAAATGTTAGCATATCGATCCAACGACTTGACAAATGGTAATGCATGAAATTTTTTGTAAAAGATCATTGGTTTGAATCGTTGTGATTGTTCAGACAAATTCAACGTCAGATAGCAGCTTATCACAGTGATACCGCACAAAGGAATACCATTCACGAAATATTCCGTAACAATCCGAAATTTCAACAGCCAACAAACAATCGCCCACGGAAAATAAACAGTTTTGCTCTTGTACCGTTATGCGATTATCATTTGAAGTGCGTGCGATTGGATATGAGAGATTTGTATAACAAATTGGCAAGCAAGCTAAAAGTAGTGCCCAGATTTATGAATACTGAGACCAACCGGCTGAATAAATACCCCGAAAAATACTACAGAGATCATGATCGAGATGGACTATCGAATTTGTTGTTCAACGTCGATAAAATCAACCAATTGGGCAAACGATCCAAACAATTCCATCATCAAATCGTGACCAATAGTGTTTCCGTATCGGCACTGTACACCAAACCAGAGCAGGCGTGCAACGAAAATGTGCATTTACAGGCGGACAATCTTGTAGGCAAGGAATACGTTATTGGCATCTATTCGAATGAAGAAATGTGGTTGGCTATAACGCGTCGCAATATCCGGAAAACACCTGATCTGAAATGTGTTTGAATCGTAACTAACTTTGATGATTTTGAATTTTGAAGGAAAACATCACAATATCAAACACGCGGTTCTACTGGGAAACTAGGCAGAAACGTGCAAAACACAAACTTTTGTGATTTCTGTTTGAAAATTTCAAGAAAAAATGTATTCTCCAATCTCAAATATGTAGTGGGGAGTTAACTGGCACGAGAAAACCGACTATGTTGTTAGTTTCACGATACAATAAATTTGATACACATTTCAAACAAAAATCTGGGAGGTACCCTTATTTTTTGTTGAAATCTCTTAAAACTCTCAGAATTTTATTTTGTGAAAATAATAGCCTGTGCAAAGTTTCACGTCATTACGTGATTTTTTCAGATTTTTGTGTTAAAATGTGAGAAAAATGATTTAAAAATTGATCTTATCGCAGAAATAACGCCAGATTCGGTTTTCTCGCACCAAAAAACCCCCCACTTACATCATTTTTTTAGGAAATAGAAAACTTTCAAAAGTCACTAAAATGGGTCCATCGAGGTATCTTCCTAATAAATTTTCCTAATGCTTCGTTACAATAACAATGTGTTACCCGTATTGCTAAAAATCTAACATTAATATTGAGACTTTTCAACACAACTTCAAGTTGAAAATATATTTAGAATAGATGGCGTTCGTGTCTGCTCTAAGCTCATCATTGAAATTGATTGGGTTGATGAGCAATTTCAATGATGAGCTTAGAGCGGACACAGACGCCATCTATTGTAAATATATTTTCAACTTAAAGTTGTGTTGAAAAGTCTCAATATTAATGTTGGATTTTTGACATTAGCGGCAGCGAGTAACACATTAATACTGTAACGAAGCATTGTCGTTACAATTGTAATGTGTTGCAAAATGCAAATCTGTACCCAAAAATAGGGAATTGGCTGTCAAAATGGTGCGTTTGTTTGTCAAAAATGGGGCATTTGGTTGTCAAAAATGGGCAATTGGCTGCCAAAAATGGAAAATTTGGCTGTCAAAAGTGGGAAAATGTGGCTGTCAAAAATGGGGATTTGGCTGCCAAAAACGGGGAGTCCTCCCAAAAATTAGAAATTTGCTGTCAAATATGGGGAGCTGGCTGTCAAAAATGAGGATATGGCTGCCAAAAATGAGGGATTGGCTGTCGATAAAAAAAATACGAGAGATAAACACAATAAGGGAAGATTATATAAACGCCATCTGATATTAACCGGCGAGCAGATGGAACTAAAAATAATTGAATTTCATTGATAGCCCTAGCGGGGGAACAATATGAAACAACGAAATGAAGAAAAGACAAAAAACCATAAGAAAAATAATGTAATTAAAGTATCAAATTGCATCGAGTAATATTACGTTTCCTCACTTTCAAGAAATTTTTACACATTTTCTTCGTTTTTTTTTATCGACGCATTTTTGACAGCCAATTCCCCATTTTTGGGGGCAATTTCCCTATTTTTGGGAGGCAATTTCCCCATTTTTGACAGCCAAATTTTCCTATTTTTGACAACCAAAAGCTACATTTTTGACAGCCAATTCCCCATTTGTCACAACCAAACGCACCATTTTTGACAGCCATTTCCCCATTTTTGACGGGCAATTCCTTATTTTTGGGGGGTCAATTCCCCATTTTTGTCAGCCAATTTCCCATTCTTATACACCAAAACGATTTTACCTTCAATAATTCATGGTTTGGAATATTTTTCCTAAACATTAATAAATTATAAATTTACCGTTACGATAGATAAAATATTCAATATAGAGTAGAACGAATACAAGAGCCATAAGCCACGAGCGCTTGAGCGTTTAGCACAAATGTAAAAATATCAACAGATTTCGATAGTTTTACAAGCACTAAGCATGTTTGACGCACGCCAACACAGTTGCGATGCGACATTTGCTCAGTAACTCAGTGCGCCTTTGCCATCTTTGAGAAAACTCAAAGTAATCAAAATAAAATGGACTTACCTTATCCAATTGATTGTTGAATTCAAGAATATCTTGTGCCTCTTCTAAGCCCCGACCTCTTTGATCCAACTCTTTCAGCAGTTCACGCCATGCTGCCAAAACTTTGCTTATCACTTCTTTTATTTCTACCACATTTTCATGATTTTTATTGATTAAAATTTCACCCGTTTTTTTAATATCAATAATTCTTTCTTGATTGACAGCTACTTCAGCCTGTAATGCTTGATGTTTTTGTAATTTTTTTATTTTATCTTCAAGTAAATCAGTATCAAGGTTAACGTCACTGTCAACACCAAGTTTTTTATGTTTTTCAGATATCCAAAGTTGAGCTTCAGCGCAGTCCCGCACAAATTGAGCATAAAGTAATGCATCGTCTAATTTTTGTCGTTGTGTAGAACATAAACGTTTCACCTTTTGTCGTCGTTCAAGAACTTCATGTAATCTCTTTCCGATACGTCCAGAATCATAATGGTTTTGTTCAAGTAATTTTCTTCCATGTTCTTGAAGTAATGCAACTTTTTCTTCTTGTGTTTGAATTAATTTTTCAAATGCATCATGTCGTTTTATTTGATCTTGTACTGCTTCAACAGTTTGACTTAAGTTTGAACAATTCATCGCTGCTTCTTGTGAACTGCATAAACTATCAATTTGTTTTGCATCTCTATGAAAGTGGGATTTTTTTTAAAGTTCTTGATTTGAAATTGTAAAAAAAAATTATAAGAAACCAACCTAAGGAAGCAGTATAAATCAATTTTTTGTTCGAGTAAAACTTTCTTTTTGTTCCAAGCTGTATGTAATTTCTAAAATCAAGGAATTCATAAATTAATCAAATCCCAATCATTGTGTGTCTGAATTCTTTTTATACGTACACTACGTTCATCAAGAAGAGCTGAACAACGTTCCTCGACTTCAGCGGCAGCATAGTGACCAGTTTGTACCATTGAATCACTCAGTTCACTAAGGTATCGGAATTTCTCCTCTCTTGCTTCAATTTCATTATAAATGGCATCATGTTGTATTTTCAATGCTGTTGCTCCAGCAGCGTCCCGGACATTCTGCTCATCAAAAGAACATGAAAAAGAAGACATTTTAAACAGTATAAAAAATGCGATTTTCTTGATAAAAAAAATTAATATTATTTTCCTGCTTACTTCTTCTGCTTGTAATGTGGCTCGCAAATTTGAAGCCCACAACATCAAATCTCTAACTTCTGTCAAAAATGTTTGCAAGTCACAACTAGCCGCCAATTGATCGCTTCGAAGAGCCGATCGTTCTCTAAGCTTTTCCCATGCTTTCATTACATTTTCCTGTTGCTGCCGTATAGCTGATGTATTTGTTAGATATTTATTTTGTAATCGAGCAGAATCTTCGACTAAAACCTATCAATATTAAAAATAATATTAAATTTTTAAAAAAAATAACAAACAAATAATTGACAATAGTAAAACCGAAATGGAAAAACTTGAGCGTAAAAACATGATGCAAATTCTTCAGCGTATATAGAGAACTTTCAAATTTTAGAACAAAAAGAGTTTATAAAAAACTGAGGGCAAAAACACAATATATCGATTACTTGTTCTTGCCCGCAGGCTGGATATGTCATGTTTTTGCTCTCAATTTCGTCTATAGTTTATTTTCCTCGCAACAATCGGGATCTTGTTTTTACGCCAAAAAAATTGATTTTTTATACGCATGTGATACGACAGTGTCATTCCAGCGGTCTTCCGTGTGTTTCATACCATGTAAATGGTAAAAAATGGCGAAAAATGAAAAAAATAATTAAAATTTTTTTCTTAAATTCTCAAATACTACTCAGCTTTCTGTATCATCTGGTGGAATCAGAATGAAAAAAATCGCATTCCTTATCATCCAAATCACGATCTGGAGGTTTTTCACTTTTGGAGTGCTCTATACCGAGTCTCCGAGAGTTTCATATAAACTTGCTATGTGATACCCATTGAATAGTGACCGAATGCCAATCGCGATTTTGATGATATGGAACGCAATTTTTTTCATTCTGATTTCATCAGGTGATACAGAAAGTTGAGTAGTATTTGAGAATTGAAGAAAAAAAATTTAATTATTTTTTCCATTTTTCGCAAATTTTTCACCATTTACATGGGCGGCTTGTATGAAAAACACGGAAGACCGCTGAAATGGCAAACGCCAAATATATACGGACCTACGACAGTGTCATTTCAGCGGTCTTCCGTGTTTTTCATACAAGCTTCCAATAAAGATGGTCATCAACTGTCATCTGTCAAACAGTAAACAACACTTTTTCTTAGCTCCGTAGTTTTAGTGTTTCTTTTTATTTATTTTATTGTTTTAAGCAGTATTCTTGGCTAAAAGATAATTTTTTTCTTGTTTTAAAGCACTGTGCTATCCAAATTAGTATTTATCGCGTTACATTTTTTGTTGCTAGTGTTATTTTCGTTGGTTTTATTTCGTTTTTTTTTCTCCGTGTATTTTGTTGGTGTATAACCTACAAATATGAATACAGAGAATGACACATGCACTTTATGTGCCAAATCCACGACCAATTCCAAAAAAGATGTGATAAATTGCTATGGATTTTGCGGTAAACAATTTCATATCAATTGTTTAATTATGGAAAATGGTAATTACAAGAAATCGATTATAAATTATCTAGTTTCAATAAAGAATTTACAGTGGTATTGCGATATATGTTTGACCTTTACGGTAAATGGCATCGCATCAACTCTCGTGAATAGTGCCAAAATCATATCGGAATTTCAATCCACTGTACAACCTCAATTGGAACAATTGAAGGTTTCCAACGCAGCCACTTCGGCAAAACAAATAAATAGCGCGAATTTATCACTACCCGCTCCTATTTTGACACAGTCTTCAGTAATTCATACTGACATTCCATCGACTACGATCAATCAGATGGAAATCGATACCAATATCGTTGTTGATATCGATGCAAACAGTACCGATGTGATTGACCCTGTTGTTAACGAATGCAATGACACCAGCATAATTTCGATTTCGTGTGATATTTTGACAAATGATGTTCCGACCGTGCGACCAAAGCCAAAAGTTTTACGCAAGCGTTGTAGATCTGTCAGTCCATCGACTAGATCAAATGTGTCGACAAATACAGTGTCAAATCCACGCAAAAAGAAGGTGTCAAAGCCAACGAATGTGACAAAGGCTAGCTCAGAGCCTAATTCAATAGCGGTTTCACATCTCCAGTCAAAAGTCGTTGGCAGGAATATTACAGCCACCTCTAATCCTAACAAGAATTTGAATTCCAAAGTGGCAAATGGTGATTTTGGTCATCGGGTCGGTCATACAATTAACTCAAAATTGTATGAAACAAAAACGGTCTATATTTCACCGTTTCGGCCTGATACTACTGTCGATGATATCACCGATCATTTGAAATCACACCAATGTTACAGTGTTGTAGGTGACTTGAAGGTGATCAAACTGGTGAGCCAAAATAAAGACACAAGGAAATTATCGTTCGTTTCCTTTAAAATAGAAGTGCCTAATCGTTATTTCGACATTATTATGGACAGTTCCATTTGGCCACCGGGCGTTAAAGCCAAAGAGTTTGTTGAAAATTCACTGCCTGGCAAAAACAACTCTAAATCAGTTCCACCTCCCAAACGGACCGTAAAGAATCCAAAAAACAAGGATCATGCCTCGTTCAGGCCACCAATTCTTGGTCGAAATCGACGAAAGCCACATCAAAGGCAAACAATTTCACCGGAAATTCCATCGATTGCCAACTTGTTGCCGCTGCTGTCTCAGTGCCTACTCAGTCCACTGATGGGTTCGTACAGTCAGCCTCAACAAAATCGTCGCAACTAAGCAACACAAATCACTCTCTCTCTCCTCCAACGACTTTGGTGTGCAATGATATTTATTATCAAAATGTTCGTGGCTTGCGCACCAAATCAAAACAATTTTTCTGCAATTCGTCGGCATTTGCACATTCGATTGTTGTTTTAACGGAAACATGGTTGAACCAGTCTCATTTTTCGTCAGAATTCTTTGACAATTCATACCATGTTTACCGTAAGGATCGTTTTGAGACTGGTTCATTGTTAAGTCGTGGTGGTGGTGTACTCATCGCAGTCACCTCAAAACTAACATCCACCAACATTGTATTCGATGACACAAGTGAATTGGAATATGTCTGCGTTAAAGTCAGCATTAATACAAAACTCAACGTATTTATTTATGCTGCGTATATTCCGCCTAACTCACAGCCGGAAATATACAAACGCCACTCGATTGCCATAAGCCATATTCCATCGAGCCCAATTGACACTATTATTGTATTGGGAGATTTTAATCTACCCCTTGTCAATTGGATTATGGATGACGATGAACATAATGTTCTCATTCCAACTTGCGTCACTCCACAGCATGCGGCGGTTTTTATCGAAGACATCACTGCCAATGGTGTCTATCAGATTAATTCTATTCGCAATGCCAGCAATAAACTGCTCGATTTAATATTTACGAACGATTTCACGAACGTCGAAGTTTCTTGTCCACCGCCTTTATCTGCCATTGATGAACAATATCATCCACCTATTCTCTTGACGTATGAATGGCACATAAATAACTTAACTCAAGAGCAAATTCCAACTAGAAACTTCCTTAAAGCCGACTACATTGCAATGAATAGGTACTTTGCCGAAATCGATTTTTCCGAACACTTTTCAAATAAGCCTCTTGACCATAAAGTCGACATTTTGCACCAAATTATTAACGAGGCGATTGAAAAGTTCGTACCTGTTCGAACGAAAAAGATTACATCGAAATGTCCGTGGAACAACAAGCAACTTCAGTCTCTCAAAAATAAAAAGAACAAGGAGTGGAAAAGATCGAAGTCAACTAACAATGACTCTGACTATTTGCTTGCGCTTGAAAATTACAGCAAACTTAACACGGAACTGTACAATTCGTATGTCGACAAAATGACTTCTTCATTGAAGTCCGACCCTACATCGTTCTGGCGTTTTGTCAACACGAAGAAAAACAGTGACTGCGACCCAAAATCGTTGCATTATGGTGACAAATCATCGGTTGATAAGATGGAGCAAGCTGAAATGTTTGCAACATTTTTCAAAAATAATTTTGCAAATCAACCGTCTCTAATTCAATCGACAGCACAAGCGTCAACTCAAACAAATTCTTCCGTTGACAATTTCATTCTTAACGAATTTTCTGTTTTTGACGAGTTACTAAAAATTAACTCTAAGAAAGGCGCAGGACCAGAATTCATCCAATCCTTCTTAAAAATTGTGCTGGCTTATTATACGAACCGCTGTCAATGATTTTCAATGATTCGCTTTCCACTGGACACTTTCCTACGAGATGGAAACGTTACAGCGTTGGACCAATATTCAAAAAGGGATCACGTTCTAACGTTGAAAATTATCGGTGCATTGCCAAATTGCCAACGATCGCCAAGTTTTTCGAATATTTGATTAATTTGGAGATCAGCAAGATGGTAGCCGATAAAATAGTTCCACAACAACATGGTTTTATGAAAGGTCGCTCGACTTCGATGAATCTTTTAGAATTCCTGCACTATTCTATGAAGGCAGTGAACGAAGATAAGCAGGTAGAAGTACTTTATACTGACTTCAGTAAGGCATTCGACATTGTTGATCATTCGATTCTGATTTCAAAACTACAAAACTTCAATCTGCCTCCTAACTTAATCGAATGGATCAAATCGTATTTGTCAAATCGTCGTCAATTCGTGAAATATGGGCAAATGGAGTCAAGTGAGTTTGTCGTTAGCTCAGGAGTTCCTCAGGGAAGTCACTTGGGCCCCACCCTATTTCTGCTTTTCATCAACGACATTGTTAATTCCATTAAGGATGACGACATTTTTATCTCTCTGTTTGCTGACGATTTGAAATAGGCAACTTCAATCGCTAACACCAATGACTGTATCAAACTTCAAGTTGCAATCAATAAATTAAAAAATTGGTGCGAAGCAAACAAACTTCATTTAAATCTTGACAAATGCTCTGTTATGTCAATATCAAAAAAGAGAGAGCAAATCGTAAGTTCCTACTCTTATGGCAGTCACAAATTCAAGAGAGTGAGCGAACAAAGAGAAATGGACGTAACTTAAGATGTGTGGAGTACTTCAAAATCAATGACAAGAACTTCAAAATCAATCCATCAGTACCAATCAACCAAATGTGCAAAATGTCAAATAAGGTCCACGAACTATTTTCAACGCAATCAAAACGATCAACTTTCAAAACTCGACTTTTAGCCTTAAGCGATGACCATTTTTCTAACTTGTCATTGGTGTCTAACTATAACACTGTTTTCTTTAACGATCTAATGTGATACATTGTGATTTTTGTAAAGATGTAAATTATTTATTTATCCAATTATTTATTTAATTATTTATTTATTAATTATTTTCTGACTCATTGTAACCGCGTGCAATTTGAAAATGTTTAGTATTTATAAGTGTTTTTTGCTGTTTGACGGTAATTTGAACAGTTTACTATTAACTATTTAGCTATTACTGTAAGAAGTAGCTAATTAGTTATTAGAAATCTTTATTAAAAGATGTGGTTTTTAACGGTGATCAGATGTATACCAAATGTGTATCATTGATTCATACCTTTTTCCCACCAAACAAATGTATAAAAATTATGTACAAACTCAAAAGATTCAGCCAGTTTTGGCGGTGAATAAATATTATTATTATTATTATTATATAAAAAATCGCGAAAAATGAAAAAAATAACTAAATTTTTTTTCTTCGATTCTCAAATACTACTCAATTTTCTGTATCACCTGGTGAAATCAGAATGAAAAAAATCGCATTCCATATCATCTAAATCACGGTCTGGACTTTTTTCATTGTTTGAGTGCTTTATACCGGTATCCGGGGTTTCATATAAACTTGCTATGTGATGTCTATTGAAGAGTAAGCGAATACCAATCGTGATTGAATCAATATGCGTCATTTGGCTATTGCAAGGCGAGTTTATATGAAACTCTCGGAGGTTCGGTATAAAGCACAAAAAGTGAAAGAAAACTTTTTTTTTCTAAATTCTCGAACACCACTAAATGCTCTATATCATTTGCTGTGAAAACTTTGCTATCTCTTTCACCCAAATCCTGCTTGGCAAATGGCAAGTCGTTGTCTCATGCTGTCACGCTTACTCTAGCGCTTACCCTTGCATCTATAAATGTTTACAATGGACATTCTATTCACACACAACTCACATTTATATTTTGCTGCGCAATAAAAGTCATCGACACAAAACTCAAAGCGATGACCAAATACATTGTTAATAATTTTATTGCGCAGCAAAATATAAGTGCGAGTTGTGTGTTAATAGAATGTCCGTTGTAAACAATTATACATGCAGTGCGAGCAAGATAGCATTGGACAACGATTTGCGTGATAGAGAGAGCAAATTTCTACGTTCTGATCACACCAAATAAAATAGACCATTCAGTTGTGTATAAGAATTGAGAAAAAAATCTGTTTTTTTTTTTACTTTTTGAGTGCACTATACCGAGTCTCCGAGAGTTTCATATAAACTCGCCTTGCAATAGCCAAATGACGCCTATTGATTCAATCACGATTGGTATTCGCTAACTATTCAATAGGCATCACATAGCAAGTTTATATGAAACTCTCGGAGACTCGGTATAGAGCACTCAAACAGTGAAAAAAGTCCAGATCGTGATTTAGATGATATGGAATGCGATTTTTTTCATTCTGATTTCACCAGGTGATACAGAAAATTGAGTAGTATTTGTAAATCGAAGAAAAAAAAATTCATTATTTTTTTCATTTTTCGCGATTTTTTATCATCTACATGATCGTAGATATATGGTCCGCCTCGCTCATAAAAAAATCCGTTTTTTCGGCTCAAAAACAAAACTCCGATTGTTGCGGGCAAAAGAACTATAGACAAACTTGAGAGTAAAAACACGACATATCGCTTTTTCACTTTTTCTCTGATTTTGCGTATGTCGTGGTTTTGCTCTCAACTTTGTGTGTTGAATTTTTGCTCTCGATTATGATATGTGGTATTGTTTTACTCCAAACAAAAATACATGCTATTTTTACGCATAAGAAAATTAAGTGTTGGTTTTACTATCAGGCTGTCAATTTATTATATACCTGTAATTGAGCTTCAAGTGCAACAAGATCATTTTCGAAACCTTCATGTTTTCTCAATAGCGCTAATGCAGAATTTAGATCTTTTCCCATCTCCGTTGAAATAGCAGCATTTTTATCTTGAATTCTAAACATTGCTTCTGTTACGTCGCGGTAAAAACGGTGTATTTCACCGGCTCCTTGTAATTTCTGTTCACGTAGCGCCAATAATTTTAGTAAGTTTTGCCAATAGGAACTAAAAATTGAAAATATTATATATTTTTTTATTAAAAATATTATTTTTTGAAAAAAAAAAAAATGTAAATCTCAACCTCAACTGATCTTGACTTTTTTCAATATCTGAAACATATGGTGATTCAGATGCTAGAAGCTTCTTGGCAAATTCACTACACTGATTAAAACGTTCAGCTCCACTTTCAACTCTGTGTTTAAGATCATCAAATTTGTTCTGTAATAACTGCAAATCGAAAAATAATCTACAATTTTCTGATAAAGAATTATTTTTTATAAATTTACCAGTAAATGCTCATAATCTTGTCCATAATCTTCAGAGGATGCTGCTTGCTCCAATTCTTTGATCCATTCAATTAGTTCGGCGCATTCAGCAAAATATTCGTGGCGATACATACTTTCCATCAATCGTATTTGTCTCTGTTGACTAAGTCGTTGCAGTGACTTGAACATTTTTTCGATCATTTGTTGCTTAGATGCAATTAATTTGCTGTCAGGATGTTTAGAAGCAATCATACTAGCAACGGAATGTCCCATTTCTTTTACCAATACAATACAAAGATATTTACAATTAACGTATATACACTGTGACTTTGAAAAAAATAAATAAATTGCAATCCAAAATTTAAAACAAATTTTACCTGATATGATTCCAGAATATGTATCTAGCTCAAGCTCAATACCTTTGTGCTTAGTTAAAAGTTTGGTAGCAGAATCGCGATCACGTCCAAAATCGCTTGATTTCAGAACATTTGTTCGTTCACCAAGCCATGTTTCAATTTCACCGGCTTCGGATAAATACTGTTGGGCTTTTAAGGACAAATCTAATTTTCCACTCTTTTCATTTGATTTCTCCACCAAATCATTCCAAGCGCTTTCAACAATTTCACATAATTCTTCAACTTTTTCGCCATCTGGGTGATCTTGTTCAATTAATGCTTGACCAGATTTTAATGTTCTTTTTACAGTTGGTTCATGACCTGTGATTTCGGCTTGTAATTTTCTATGTTTTTTGTGTAAATTCTGAGTTTGGTGTAAATTTTGTCCCATTTCTGTTGACATAACAGCAGGCAAATGTTCATTGATCCATTGAATTTCAGCGTCAAGTTCAAAAACAAAATTATGGAATCTGTAAATGGAGAAAATCAGTTAATGTAACACTCAGTTTTAATATATTATACATAAAAAGTAATTCATACTTAAGATTCTCTTCCAAAATTCCCCTCCTATTTTTAATAGGTTGTACAAGTTTCTTGAATTCTTCTTGAATTTCTTTTGTTTCATTTTTGATATTATTCGAGTCAAAATGACCTTCGTGTGCCATTTCTTCTCCACAAGTTACAAGCTCATCAATTTTTTGCTGCCACAAATATATTTCCGATTCCAGCATCTGCTGTCGATTTAAAAATTCTTTACAACTACGTAAATCATGTCCCACATCTTTGCTTAAAAGTGCACTTTCAAACTCCTGCAATTTCTTCTTAGCATCCTCAATACAACGATTATGATCACGCTGTGACACTGCTTGTTGCAAGCGTTTTCCCTTATCTTGAGATGAGCCCAGCAACTTTTTCCATTTTGAATTTAATTCTGCGCATGTTTTTTTCACGTCTGGTACTCGATTGTTTACTAAAATTAGATTTTCAGCGTCCTGGAAAAAAGGTTTGATTTTATGAAAAAAAGAATATTTTAGATTTGTTTCATAATGAAAATACTAACCTTGATTATGTTTCGTAATTGACCTTCATTCGCTCTCAATTCTCGCTCAAAAGCTTTATGCTTTTGAAGTTTTCTTGGTAAATTGCTTAGGTCGCGATAATTTTCATCGCTTGCTACCTTCATTTTATCATCAAGCCAAGTATTTAAGTCGCCTGATTCCGCTCTGAATTTCTCATAATCCTTCGATGCTTGTAAATTTGCTTTACGCTTTTGTGCTGATTCTTTCACATTATTACGACGCATCATAACTTCAATTCTTCGCTTATTAATGTAGTCTGCATTATAATGTCCATTTTCTATTAGTTTGTCTGCATTGTCAGAAAATACCTGGGGATGATCAGTGGAAAAAATGGAAATTAATCAATAAATAATGGAAAATGAATTGAAGGACTGGATAAGAATTGTGGAGTAATGGAACAGTAATTTTTAAGTCAGTATGCCTCAATTACCTTCAGTATTTTATTCTGTGCACCAAGTGTATTTTCAAAATCATTGTGTCTTTTTATGATTGCCTCAACGTCATCAAGAGAGTTTCCCAGATCGGTGTACTCTAAAAATGCTTCATGGCTTTTGGTTGTAGCGTCAATTTTATCCGCTTCACGATTAAACACTTGTAATTCAACACCCTGTTGCAAGCATTTTTGTTTTTCAACCCATTTGCTATAAATATTTTCATTTTCATTTTCCAATTGTTTTATTAAAACAGATACGTCACTTAAGTTTGGATTGCGCTGTTCTAGTTGCTTACCTGAAATTACCAGATATATGATTGGATTTTTTACTTTTCCGCACACACCTAGTGTGTAAGGTAAAGCATTGAAATCGGTCGAAAAATTAACACCCTCAAAAAACATGTTTTCTGGGTGTTTTAAGATCCAGGAAATACGAATCAGTCGTTTTTTCGATGTTCGTGCGTGATACCTTATACCCTGTACGCAAAAATTTGTTAACACGATAACTTTCAACCAAGAAAAGTAATTCAAAATCTGACTTCACAGGATGATTGGTGGTGCCGAGGAATAGAAACCATTAGATTTTGAGCGACTTTGGTTGATAGAGTGAAGTGTCATGTCTAGTGTGATGCCCATGGGAAAAATTCAATTTTTCTCCCAAAAGTTATATGTATACTAAAACACTCAAAAATATGTATCGGGGAGTTTTTTGGCACGAGAAAACCGAATATGATACTAAATTTGCGATACAATTTCAATGCATATTAGGGGTATCTCCCGAACAAAATTTTGGATTTTTCGCTCGAAAACGAAAATTTTGTATCTGAGATACCCCTAAGTTGTACTGAAATTTCTTCAAACTTTCAGAATGTTAGCTTTTTGTGATAAGTTTCTCGTAGTAAAGCATTGATTCCATACAAAAATTCCCATTTTTAGTCATTTTTGTATGAAAAGTCTATCAAAAATTATTTGTATCGCAAAACTTATATCAGATTCAAATTTCTCATGAATTCGTATTTACGGTAAAAGATACGTAATAAATGCATGTTGTGGATCACAGTGCGGAAAAGTTCATCTTACGGATGTAGGACATTTTATTTTGTATAGTTTTCCTACTAATTAGAGCCACAAATGAACCGCTTAGAATAAAAGAAGATAATGGTAGAAAGTTAAAAAAAATCTCAGTCATAAAGTTCTGTGAAAATAATACTCAATCAAGAAAAAATTAAAAATAAAAGTCGATAAAAAAATGAGTAAAAATAATATTCAATCAAGGGGAAAAGTGAAAATAAAAGTCGATCATAAATTATATTTTCATTTTAATCTCACTCATTTGGAAAAATTCGATCATAAAATGAGTAAAAATAATACTCAATCAAGAGAAAAGTGAAAATAAAAGTCAATCATAAAATGAGTGAAAATAAAAGGCAAACACAATTTATGATCGATTTTTTTTAACTTTCTACCATTATCTACTTTTATTCTAAGCGGTTCAAATATTTGTAATGGACCCTTGTGAATTCCACTGCTATGTACCGAATTTTTTTTAAATCGGTTCGAATGGGAGCCCAGAAAATCGTACTAAACAAAAGCTGCAATCGTACTAGCAGCTTGTGAGAAAATTTAAACTTTTTAATCTTTTTAGGAAAGCACTTTAACCCAAAATAAAATGAAATGAAAATCGCAAATTCGATTTTAATCTGATGATGGAAGTGAAATGTTCAAAATGCATTCAAGTTTGATTGACATAAAAATTCTGATTTGAAATCATTTATCAATGACATTAGTTTTTCAAAAATTGTATTGAAACTTTCTTCAAATTTGCTGAGATTGTGTATTTTGGCACGAAAATAGGATTGACGAGTTTTTAGGGTGATTAAATTACTTTTATTGCGTTTTGTTGATTAGAAATTGATCGAATTTTTTCCCTAAATGTGTAGTTTCAGTTTCAATCAAAGTGAAAACTTCTAAATCCTTGATCTGAACCACCATAATTTATTAGGTAAAATTAGAACGATACTGGAAATATTAGGAGAAATTAGAATCGTTTTGAACAGGAATTGAAAGCATCTGGAATTCGCGAAACAATCATCTGTATGCTATTTTTTTCAATTTTCATATTTTGTTTTTGGTTTGCAATTATTTCCCGTTTTTTATTTATAATTTATTAATTTATAAATTAGGTGTGGATAATTGGATTTTATATTTATTTCCATTGTGAGATTAAATTCAGTGCACCTTTTACAATGAGAATGGCAAATATGAATTCTCATTTTGTTTGAAGAAGTTTTTAACATAGAAACAAGCGCCACCGCATTTACACATGGTTTGCACATAGCGGCGACAATAAACACTATATTCTCTAGAAATATTAGAAGAAATTAGAGGCGTATTATTATTAGTGCAAATGAGATAAATTGAATTATTAATTCAATATTCCAAAATAGTTAGTACTAGAAATGGTGGTTCCACCCTTGTGTAAATCTCATTTTCTTGCTAAACTACATAATCTCAGCAAATTTGAAGGAATTCCAATGCATATTAGAGGTACTTCCCATACAACATTTTCGTTTTTGAGCAAAAAATACAAAATTTTGTTTTGGAGGTATTTCTAATATGCATTGAAAGTTCTTCAAACTCTCAGAATTTTTTTTTTAAAGTTTCATGATCTGCAGATCATTACGATATCATACAGGCATGGCTTCTTGAAGAGAGTGTCGAACATTATTTGTATGGCAAAACTATCTAACTAAACTGCATCACATCAGGCATGACTCTATCAACCAAAGTCGCTAAAAATCCAATGGTTTCTATCAGTCTATGTATTTCGGATGGATATCCATCCGAGATATTTTAGAATATCTGGATATTTAACGCAACTGCACAGAGCCAGAGCTGTGTGCGTCGCACATATGATCTACGGTATGTCGCTACACGTAAAATACAGACACAGTGTGACAGTGTGACTGTGTACGTACGGCACTTGATACACATATACATCGCGACATACCGTAGATTCTATTTGCGACGCACACAGCTCTGGCGCTGTGCAGTTACGTTGAATATCCAGATATTCTAAAATATCTCGGATGAATATCCATCCGAAATACATAGACTGGTTTCTATTCCTCGTGACCCCCAATCATCTAGGTTGAAAGTAATCGTGTTAACACATTTTTGCGTACAGGATACAGGGTACCTCGCACATACATTCGGACATCGAAAAAACGTCTTATTCAAGGCCCCGAAAACACGTGTTAATTTTTAGACCGATTAAATAAAATGTTATTCAAAATCAGTAATGTGCGAAGGGTAAACCCCCCCTGTGATTTGGATGAATTCTTTTCGCGAAAATTTTTCGAATTTGCTAGGGTTTTTGATTCTAAAAGTGAAGACCTTTTTTTTAGCTCATCAAAGTAGAAAATTGAGGAGAATTCTTTCAATTTCCTAGGTCTTTTGGTTCAGAGTGATTTTTTTTCGATTTGCTTGGGTTTTTCGCGGAGGAAATTCTTTCGATTTGCTAGGGATTTTCGCCTCAAAAAGTGACTTCCAAAAAAAAAAAAACCAAAATTTGTCTGATTTGCTAGAGAAATTTTTGGTTTCGAAAAACCACCCCCCCTGAAAAATTTTCCTCGCACATTAGCACATTACTTTGTACTTACCGAGCGCAATAACTTCTTTGAACTCATCATTTTGACCTTTAATTTCGTCCCCAAGTTCATTGTGCTTTTTGAGGAGATTTTCAGCTGTCTCAACATCGCGAGCACTTTCATTAGACTCCAAAGTATCTTTCATAAAATCGATCCAACCGAGTAAGTTTTTAGAACTGTTCATGAAAATTTGTTGACCAACTGCACTCTCCAAACGAGAACGTCGGCCAATTGCTTTATCCTGTGTTTTTTTCCACATTTCTTTAATTTCTTTTTGACGATTTGTCACATTAGATTGTTCGTGTGGATATGAGTTCTTCACACTGTTACCTAGCAAATTAACTCGAGTAATTTTTTCTTCGAGTGGTGCCAGCTCTCTTTCTAAATGTTGGTGACGCCGTTGTAATGCTTGTATAGTTTTGAGGTCTGGACCAACATCAGCAATATCAAGCTGGCTCATTTTTTCATGCATCCAATCAATTGCTTCGTCACAAGTTCGATTAAAAAGTTCAACACTAGATGCTCCTTCAAGGTTCTTTTCTCTCTGTGCTTTTAAATTATTTAAATTGTTCCATTGTTGCTGAATTTGACGTTGACGGTATTTTACTTTATCCAATTGTGAATGACCTTGGCGTATAAAATCTTCGACTGCTCCATCTATTGCTTCAATTCGTTTGGATGATGCAGATAAGTCAGTTAAAAACTTTTCAAATTTACGTTTAGACGTTTCAACGTCTTTATCATCCAGCTCCTCACTTTGGAGCATTTTTTCTTTATCTTTTATCCATTTTTCAAAATCATCACATTCACGATAAAATCCAAATAAACATATTGAATCTTCAAGAAGAGCATATCTCTTTTGTGCAAGTAATTGTAACTGATCATATGTAGTGTTGATTCTTTTTTGTCTTTTTTCAACACTATCACTGCTATCATTTGCTTCATTCGCGGAACGACGCTTCACTAATGGTCGAACCTGGTATATATAAAATGGTAGATATTTTTAGGCGTCTCTTAATACAGGTGTCTAAACTTGTTGTGTATTTATTTTCATTCATTGATATCGAGGAAACAATCTATTACTGTATCATTTACCTGGGACACTTTTGTCGGTTTTATTCGTTTAACTGGAACAACTTGACGTACGAGAATAGTTTTTTTGACTTTTTGAATTGTACGTATTTTTTCTGTTTTGGGCACTAAGCATGGCACCGGACGAGGTTCTATTTCTTTAACATAATTCGCCGGAACAAATCCCTCCGCTCCATCCATTTTTCGTACTGACCACCAATCTGAAACATTTTTTTTATTATACAACTCCCTTTAAATTAGTTATTAGCAATATTATCGAAAACTGAAAATCTTCACCTTCGTTCGTCTTATTGAGCAAGATCATGATTTCACCTTTACTCATTGTCATCCCTTGTCCATCAAATGCATAGGTAGCACGAATATGAGGTAAAATCTTATTTTCAGTAACCATTCGATGTTCAACTTTTTCAACAGGTTCCTCTTCATAAACTTCTTTTTGTACTAAGCGAGTTTCGTTTACCCATTCCTCTTGCTCAACATCAAGCGTTGGTTCATTTTCAACGGTTTGTAAATCCAACGTACATATTCCAGCTTTAATCAGCTTATCGGCTTGTTGATTCAGATTAAGAATATCTCCCATATAGGCATTCAATTCACCTTGAAGAAAAAATATAAATAACGAATAATAATATGTAATAAATATTTAATAATTATTAATTTACCTTGTAGATCACGATGCCTTGATAGTAGAGCACTGGAAGATGGTTCGGAATCTTTTTTAATTTTGAAAATTAATTTTTTTTATTAGTCCAAAATAATATTAAAGAAATACTAATTAACAAACAAACCTCCACAATCCTTTGATTCAAGCAATGTAATTTTTTCATTTAACCAACTCTCCGCTTCATTGGCGTCGGTATGATAAATATAAGCTTCAAATGCATCTTCCAACTGTCTTCTTCGTAAATCAAGTAAATCTTGAAGTGATTTCCAATGTTCTTGTAATGATTCAACGCGATTTTTGATTTCAGAATGCCGTAAATGATTTTCGTTTATCAATTTTTGTCCCGCGTCTATCATTTGTCTAGATTTTGGTTTTCTTGTTTTAATCTCATCCTCAAGAGCTTTGTGCTTCTGTTGTAAAGATACAACTGCTCTTAAATCTTTAGCCGATACACCTAAATTATGACCGAAAATAGAAGATATAAATTAAAAAATACTGATAACTACGGCATAATGTGCACCCGACTCAATGTTGTATTTTGTTAAATTTCAAATTTGATTTTCAATTCTGAATGATTCATTTATCGAAAATAAAATATAAATCACCGTCGGATTACCCTCTTCCCCCTGGAAAATGGATTTTGAAATTTTCCCTTTACAAATTGAGAAACCTTTTTTGGTTAGAGGGTTTTCTATTTATAGCTCTGTCTACTAATATCATAGCTTCTGACCAGGGGTCCGAGAGGTTGGATTAGATCGGGGAGTGTACTAGGTCTGCTATCCAGCAATATACGTAGTTCCTCGTTGCTCAGGTCTCCTCCCCTGGAGAACAGATTAGGGAATTACCCCTTTACAAATTGAGAAAAATATTCTTTCGATTTGCTAGGAATTTTGGCGAAAAAATTGAAGACCTTTTTTTGCTCTTCACTTTTTCTAAAACGGGAGAAAATATTCAATTTTGCTAGGGTTTTTGTTGGCGAACATAAGAATCTTTGAATTTGCTAGGGTTTTTTGAGCCAAATGCTCTGAGACAAAAACCCCCCCCCCCCCCCCCAAATGCATTTTTGAATTCGTGAGAGTCAAATTTTGTAAAAATTTTGAAATTGACCCTCCTCTTGGATCGTCAACTTCAGAAGCTATGACTAATATTCGACACAGACTAACTAAGACATTCAACTCGTCAGACAAAAGGAATTTTATTGCTATCGATTCGAATGAGAAAACATTGATATCTCTAGTGCAATTGTATTGCGTCACCGAAAACCGTGAAAAACTTAGACATTCAAAAATTACTGAAGATGAATCATGGGGGACATCACAAACATACGCCAATTCAAGAAGGATTCCCAAGGAAAATAAATTGGGATGGATCGATTCAAAGTGTGCAGAGATTGTAATCCAAAATGTTAAGATTTATCAAAAATAATTCGTCAGTAAATCCCGAGAATGGTGAATTATTTGATGCGAACAATAGCAACTGACAAGCAGCAAAAAATTCAAACCGATAATATAAAATCGTTGAAAATGACTGAAACTACAAACAAATCCAGCCCCAAAATTGACCGTCTTTATTAGATTGTTCATATTTGATTTACCAGTTTTGCATATACGTTGTTTTTCAACTAGCCATCCAACTTCATTATCATAATCTTCAAGGAACAAATAAAAGTTACGCGCTTCCTCCAATCGATTCCGACGTTGCGCACATGCATTTTGTAAACTGCAATATTATTAATATATTTGAAAAAAAATCTAAATATTTAAAATTTGTATTCATCTTACTCCAAATAAGATTTATCTAATTCACTTAAACTCTTCTCCAACAATTTTAAATCTTTTTGATTATTATGTTTGATAGCCTGTCCCTGACGAATAAATCGCCTTTGTGTTTCACCCAAGGAATTCACTTGTAGTTCTTGAAGCGCAAAATTTTGTAAATATTCCTCAACACCCAATAAGTGCGGTGTAACATCTTCGGATTCAAATTGTGTCTGATATTCAGAAAAAAAACAACAATAATAAATTGAAGATGATTAAAAAAATAAATATTCTCAAATATCGTTTACCTTAAGTTCGTATATGCTTATCAATGTTGCATCAATTTCGCGCAACAAACTCATAAGGTTGCTCATATGGCTTAAATTATTCTTATGATTTTCCAGCAATTCCAATAGTTTTCGCCATTTCTCCAAAACTTCAGATTCGCGTTTTCTAACTCGATCTTTCCCATGGTAGTTTTCATTTTCAAGTTCATGCGCCATTGCTGTCAAATCATTAAAACGTTCAACACGAGCCAAAATATCAGCTGATATTGCTTCATGTTTTTTTACAGTTGCATCAACTTGAGCAAAGGAAGCACCATAACGACGATCCTCAAGAACCTTTAGATAATATTAAGACATTAGAAGAATTATTTAGAAACATTTGAAATGCAGGTACCTGAATCATTTCTTTGAGGTAACCTAAAGAAGAAACACAAAAGAAAATAATGTGGAAATTAACCAACAAATTATGAAAAAAAAAAATCAAAATAATAAGTAATATACCCTCTCGAAGTATAGATTTTTTTTCGAATTTGTAGTTAAGTTGCTCTAAACGCTCTTGTCTGAGTAGCTCATCACGTAATGCAATTTCACGATGATGTTCAGCATTTTCAAGTCCTTGCCACGCTTTCTCAATGTCATTTATAAGTTGGCCATCTTGAGGTGTATAATGTGGTTGATGTAAAGTTTTCAATAGTGTATTTATAGTGAAGTACAATGCTTCAATTTCGCTTCGTTCCTTGTATCTGAGACACAAAAATCACTCTAAGTACAAACAATTATCTTAAATCAGTTATTAATATTATAAATTACTTTGGTGGTTTTTCAATGGTACGATATTGTTTGAATGATAGTAACTGCTTTTGAATCCCCTCTAAAGAATTCGGAAAGTCCCTTTTTTCAAGTTCGGTTGTTGTTTGTCGGATCCAGCTCAGCAAATTTGTGGTTAATCGTTCATAAAGTGCTTTACGTCGGTCTGCATCCATTAGCTTACCAACAATCTAAATAAAAAATTAAATAATTTTAATACAAGATACATATTTCATGCAAAATAATTTACATTTGCTATTCGTTTCCCACTCTTCTGCTCATTTTTCATTCGAGCAAATGTATGATAATATGAAGCAACGTAAGTTAATATGGACTTTTCATCTGGTCGTGCAGTATCAACATCTTCAGCGTCAAGTAACCTATACAAATTTCCATAATAAATTTTATCTTGTTCAATTTTTGTCATATTACTCACAAAATTGTCCAATTACTCACCGGTTAATTCCAAGTTCATCATTGGCAATATTAAATGCATGATTTAAATTATCAATATTTCTGCCTGGGGTCAATTTTGAATAATCGAATAAATCAGGACGATGTGAATGAATAAGAGCATTAAAACCAAGACCAGAACGCCATGAACTCGTGAAATCCTAAAAGGAAATATGAAAATTTTACGGGTTGGTAACAATAACATGAATGAGAATGTGAGAATGGTCAACAATTACATGAATGGAAACGCCTTGATAACCATATGTTTTTCGCTGACACCACCTGTGTGAGAATAATAAAAATATTTATTATACTTATTAAAAAAAAAAAGAGTCAACATTCAGTTAAATACAAACAGGAGCAATGCGTCTTTAGCTCGTCTTTTTTCGGTCGAAGACTCATTATCCTCATCCTATTTGGAAAATAATATAGAACATTAATATTCAAAGGAATATTTCATATTTTTAAATTTCATTTATGAAAGAAGAAAGCTGTTTTACCACATCGATTTCGATTTCTTGAATTTGGAAACGTAAAATTATAGTCCATATTAGGCCAAGTATTAAACGAGGGTTTCCATCAACAATGTCCTCAGCACCAATCGATTCTAATCGAACCTAAATAAAAAAATATTATTATGTATTATTTGTGAATTGGCAGTGCATAATATTATATAGTCGGTTCGTAAGTACCTTTGTATGCAAAAATGCTAAACTTTTATTAACATTTTCTATCTTATGTACACGCATCCGACCATTATTAGGTTTTCCAAGTTTTTCACCAGATATTATTTCTAATAACTTGAGAAGTTTTATGCCATCAGCCAAATCAATGAATAAATCATCGACCTCCATTTTGGCCTATATCAGAAATATATAAATATTTTCATGAGAATACTATTTTACTTTTCTTCAAACATTCTGATAATTGAGTTAAAAAATAATATTAACTTTGGCCAAAAACGAGTTCATCCATTTGGTAAAGGTCTTTTTCTGAATATGTAGGCGTTCTTCCTGAAGAGTTTTGATGCGTTCATTCTCAAACTTATGAATGCCTTAAGTGAAAAAACATATTGAAGTTTTGAAAAAAATGTCTAGAAAAATATAGGAGATCTTAACGGGGGAAAAAGAATCTATAAACTATGTTCAGTTCAAAAGAAAAATACAAATAAGTTTTTGGTGACGCGAAGTATAGTAGTTGTAAGTTTACAAATTTATAGCGATAATTTATATAGTGTATTTAATTTCATGAAAATATAGGATATTGAAGGATGTCTTAAACCAGCGCCGTAGTATTAAATACCAGGAGGCTAAACAAAGTGAATAATAAAATTTTTCTACATATTGCCCAAATATACGCTACGGTGCTGGTTTAAAAAATGGGATACCTTCACGCTGTGTCATATTTGAGTTATTTTGCTGCATGTTCCTTGATGAGAATCCGCCCGGCTCATAATGTTGTCCTAAAGATGATAATACGAATTTAATTTAATATAAAAGAGATTTATTACCGAAAAAAATATTCGTTATCTTTGAGTAATGTATATTAGAAATTTTGGCTCATAAAATAATACTACTACGCCAATTAACTACTCAGTTATATTTTTTTCAAACGTTTCAAACTCAAATACTCAACAGTTCATGTACTTCATATAATGTAGAATATGTACAATGTACACTTTCTTGGAACAAATTTGTTTTAAGTTCATTACTCCGTACATGTAGTGCTTCCTTAGTGCTATTATTGGCTTCGTAGTCGGGCTTCGCCGCAATTTTACTGACCATTATATCAAACTCTTGTATCATAGGTACATAAATCATGTTTTTGGTACTATATTTTATTTTATTTTTTTCGCTACTTGAAGACAGAAAAAATATTCATTCTAACATCTTTGTGATCTTCACGGTATCAATATGGTGAAGTTTCGTATTCATTATTTAATAATATTCTCTGGAATAAAATGATATTACATGTCTTTTCCTCATTAAGGTGTTTACTACCATAACAAAGTGTATGTGTAAGGGTTATTATAAGTGTTTACTGTATTTTTCACATTATTCAAGTTAAATGTATTCTGAGAGGTGAAACATATTTTTTATCAATGAATCTTATTATCAAGTCATTTGAAAATTAAAAATCCAATATTGATAAATATTATTCTTTTTTTTTAATAAAAAAGATTAGACACTCAACCAATGCGTGATGATGATGACGCAATTGGAGTATATTTTCAATGCACTTAAGTGAAAAAATAACAACAACAACGCCATGTGAAAGATACACATCATATTTACCATACACATTTGGAATTAAATGACTTCACACTGAATTTATCACATGAAACTCAAAACGTGGTCAATGTTTCACTGAGTGAGTACATTGAATGTGTTTTGCATTTATGTGGATGAAAAAAACGTGATTTCATAGCTTATTCTTTTTGGGTTTTTTTTTTCACTGCCAAACGGATGATGTCATATTCAAGGAATAAAGCAAACGAATTGATTTAAATAAAAAAAATATCCAATATAATAATTTGAACAAAATAATGTACATTTTGATAAGAGATGTTCATGTTTCAGCAAAATTACATGACGCCATTGACATTCTTTTCTTATCGGCAACCAAGCAATATAATATGAACAAGATATGAAGTATATGAAGTATTTTCCTATTTATACTAAATTGTTTTCGAAGTGAAATAAAACAACAAAATAAGTCATGATAAAATGTTGATGAGATCATTGCTTCACACCTCTTTTAATATGACCTAGCTTGCTGCATCTATATATATATATATATTAGGGTGGGTGTATATATATATTCAATTCAATGTAATGCATTAATTAACTTTCGATCTCGATAACAAAACAATTTGATTATAAAGAAAGAAGTTCGTTTCATTCGTGTTTTCGAAACTGTAATTAAAATGTGTTAACTAACAAAAAATATTTCCATTATATTAGTATTCAAAATATAAGATTTCTATTTTTTGCCATGAAAAAAGATCAGTTATGTGGCGAAAACGATGTATACCTTATAGCATCCCAAAAACAGTGATTTCTTAATATTTCCTATAATTCGTATGTAAAAATGATCGATTTGATACTACAATTTTTTTTAAATTATACATTTTGAACTCATTTTTAGTGAAGTGCAATTAAATTTTAAAATATATATATAATTTGAAATTTCACACTCTGCTGATCATCCCTTTGAAACGTTTCTTTTTGTTTTTTTAATTCTCGCTTAATTCGAAAATATACAGAAATGTACAATTTTGGTGTAGACATATGCGTTTCTATAAATAAAAGTATACATATAGATTTTTGTATCACACATGTGGTGTGCCTTCCGCTTTTCTTTGTAGACCATGTCTCCTTTAAAAATTGTCCATAAATGGAAGCTGATCGTTTAGAACATAGAATATTTCAAGATGGGTATACTTTTTCTTGATAAAAGCATTATTTATTTATAAATTAATAATCAATAATATTAGTTGAATGACATATATTTGTCAAATAAAAGTGTTTTTATTGTTGTTGTTTTAACGGTTTGATATTATATGGGATACAAATCATGCAATAATGCAGTAGTCAATAGAATTATAATTTAGTCTAGAGTCAGGCTTACACATACATACATTTCATTTTATTTCTTTCAGAATATCGAAAAAAATCGGATATAAACACGTATTTTCAATTATAGATTACAAGAATAACTGTAAAAAAACGAGAATGTGGTAAATTCTGCATGAACGAAATGCTGTATTCATGCCTAGGGAATGAAAATTGTCTATATTATCTTTAAATTATTTCATTGATAGCATTCAATTAGAAGTGATTTCTCTTTGCTATTATTATAAGCTAGAAATTGGCCTAAATTTGCGACAACAATGATAACGGTGCGATGTATTTGTTTGAATAAAAAATGGAAGGCGAAAACATCTGAAGAGTTATAAAATTCAAGATCAATAAATTATTAATAAATACTATGGCATTATCTCGAATACAAAGACAATGTAACAGTGAACAAACACTGATAAAGAAAACAAACACAATCATATCACGAAGAGGCCAATAACGAATAACCGGAAGAAAGAGAATTAAAGAAATACCTGCACACATTGAACAACAAACCTGTACTGTTGGCGCACTCTTGAAATCAACGGATTTAAACTATACCACGTTGCACAAACTACTGAATACATCTTAAAACTTACTTTATGAATGTGTAGTATGAATAAATATATTTACAAGTAATGTTTAGATGCTGTTAAAAGCATCTCTCCAAAACGAATTCTATTTGTATATTTCTATATGGTGTTGGTATTTTCTTGAAATTGGTCATCATTTCATACAAACTTATAGACGAAAAAATATTGTTATAAATACAACTATACGTACCGGTTCTCACACCTTCGTAATATCCCAAATCCAGTTTTAGATCTTTTTATACGTCAAAAGAAAAACTATTCCTCACTTCTTGTATTTGTCAACTGTTTTAGGTGATTGATCTTATCGAAAATCTAACCGTCCAATCAAAAAAATAACATAAACAATATTCTTCTGTTATTTATTTTAACAATTGTAATTGATATGTGAATTGAGCACTTTTTTGATGATTGGTTAGAATATTAAATTCAGTTTATTGTGTCCAATTTTATACACCCACTCAATATATAATTTCAAATAGATATTTAACGCACAAATAGAATATTTTTACTATCGCAAATATTATTGATTTGAAATGATCTAGATTTGTAACAAATCATTTGTTCATCAGATCACAATTTTTTTTGTTATCTTCGTATCTTCGCTTTTTCTCCAATATTATTATTCCCTATTTTACATATTTAGTCAGAGTTTTTTTCGTGTTCGCATGACTCCATGTTCGTTCATGGAAAGAGCTCACTAAGTACTGAGACGCTACTTTACGATCACTGTTAGTATGTACAAAATATCGATATCTATGTATGTGTTTACTGAACACATACACACGGAAAGTTACCTGATTCTGGAATGTCTTATTAATATGTATGGACATTGTATATTATTGTATTTTCGCGGTATTTGTAAAAAGAAATATGCTTGTAAGAAGAAATATATAGTTTTAATGTTTCAACAAACCGGCATTGTTCTTTTTATTTTTATTTTTCGTTGCAAAAAAGCAACGCTGTTTTCTACTGTATCTTGCTGTTATGTTCTTTCAATTTAAAATGTCATCAATATTATATACTTTAAACAACACCATAAAATACAACTTCTTCGTCGCCTCAATATCAGAAAATTAGTCAAATTTTAAAACAATTGTAATTGCAAGCTAACTTTTCCGCATGAAAACCAAAAAATCGGGAATTAAATATGCTTCCATTAACTTAATACCCATGAAACCTCGGAAATCTTTTTGAAACTTTTTTTTTTTTGAAACTTTTGAGAATTTTTGTACTTAACATTTTTTAAGCCTTCAAATTGAAAAAATATTAAAATTTAGGTATGTGGATCGCCGTTGGGCCCAAACAAGAGTTTTCGTGGTAAAAAGTAGATGTACATTTTTCGAATTCTTAGGCAGTCTAATTTACTCTGCTTAACCAAATTCATTGAAAATTTGACCAAATACACTACCCTGCAAAGTTTAAGACCACCTATAAAATTTAATTTTTGTTCCAATGTTTTTGAAACATTTAGTAAAAATATAGTTTGGAAATTGAAGATGCATAAAAATTTGTTATATTGCCTACCTATGCATGATGTACAAATTTTGCGGCCACTCCACAGGACACACTGCACATCATACACAGCAATATGACCAGAAATAGCCTCTAAAAATGTTTTAATAATAATAATAATAACTGCACCGAACAGCGTTCCTTCGCCTTGGTGATTTATTGAAAATAATTTAATTAAATAAATATAATATAACTAGCCGTCCTCCGCTCGCTTCGCTCGCTACGGCAGAGACATTTTATTGTAATTCCTATCTCTGAAATTACCATCTCTATAGATTTTGACTTTATAAAATGTTGTTCATTCAATATTAATTTCAATTTCAAGTCATGGACCATGATGTCCGACCTCTTTTGTTAACATGGGCTTCCAGCGTCGAAAATCGTTCAATTTTGGTACAATTGAATTAACCTCGAATGTTGAAAACTAAATCCAAAATAAACAATCATAAAAAACTAGTCATCCTAATAGCAACCTCCCGAAAGTGAAAAAAATGCTTTTTTTTGATAAAAATGATTTTTTTTTTGAGACCATGATACTATGATAGACCATGATGTCCGACCTCATTTACCGTGTTAAATGGTGTTAGACCATGATGGACCGTGATGGCCGACCACAAAAACCGTGTTAAATGGATTTGGACCATGATGGATCATGAATCTGACCTCATTTACCGTTTTAAATCGTGTTAGACCATGATTTCTGGCCTCATTTACCGTATTAAATGGTGTTGGACCATGATGGATCATGATTTCTGACCCATTTACCGTGTTAAATCGTGTTAGACCATGATAGATCATAAATTCTGACCTCATTAACGTGTTAAATGGTGTTAGACCATGATGAACAATAATTCCTCACCTCATTTACCGTGTTAAATGAATTTGGACCATGATAGACCATGATTCTTGACCTCATTTACCGTGTTAAATCGTGTTAGACCATGATGGACCATGATTCCTGACCTCATTTACCGTGTTAAATGTTGTTAGACCATGATAACTGCGATAAAACGTTTTAACTCATATTAGACAACGATGGCTGTTAAACCAACTTCAAAAGTACCTCTCCCCCATAATTTTGGGCCGAGGAATCCGAATTTCATCATGAAATTTACAAATTTTGACATACCCCATACAAATATTAAAAAAATAAAAATCGACCGTGATGGAGTAGTCCAATTTGGTCCAAAACCTCATGGTAACCTAGATCTCGGTCCAAAGTATAAGTGTGTAAAGTTTGGTTCAGATCGGCTGAAAATTGTGGGAGGAGTTAAGGACAAAAGAATGGCATTTCGTTTTTATAATATAGAAGATAATATAGATACAATTTGATTTTTATCAAGCATTTTTTTTGGCTCAATACAATACTTTTTCCACATGGGAAATACAATTGTACAATAGGGGTGCGAAAAAGAAAAATAAAATGTTAAAACCTGCCTATAATACGAGGGTCACTATTTAAGTTTTTTCAAAAACATATATAAGACAATGGGGTTTCATCGAAAATGGTTTTATTGTTTTTCAAAATATTCGCCATGATGATCAATACACTTTTGCATTCGCTCGGACCATTTGTCATAGCATTCATGCCACTCCGAAAGTGATATCTCCAAAACGTGTGTTTTGAACGCATCAACTGCTTCTTCGGGCGATGAAAATCGTTGAGCACGCAGTTTATTCTTCACGCTCGGGAATAAAAAGAAATCGTTGGGTGCCAAATCAGGACTGTACGGCGGATGACCCATTAAATCGATCTTTTGACCGGTCAAATAATCGACTGTTTGATGAGATGTGTGAGAGCTCGCATTATCATGATGAAGAATTATTTTGCGACGGCGGTTGTTTTTTCTTATTTCATCAAACACTTCGGGCAAACAAATGGTGGTGTACCAATCAGAATTGACGGTCTTACGAGCCTCTAGTGGAACTGTTGCCACATGACCACTTATCGCGAAAAAACAGGCGACCATTTGCTTCGCAACACTTCGAGCTCGAACAACTTTTGTTGGGTTATCTTCACTTTGAAAGACCCATACAGTCGACTGCTGTTTAGTTTCGGGCTCATACGCGTAGATCCATGATTCGTCACCAGTGACGATAAAATACACGGATTTTGAAACACCACGATTGAATTTCTTGAGCATTTGTTTACACCAATCGACACGAGCCTTTTTTTGAGCGATTGTCAAATTATGTGGTATCCAACGAGAGCAAATCTTTCTGACAGCTAAATGTTCATGTAAAATCTTAAATACGCTGGTCGCACTAATGCCCAGGGATGCCTCAATCTCGTGATATGTTACATGACGATCTTCCATTATCATATTTCTGACAGCATCGATGTTTTCTGGTACAACAACTGATTTTGGACGACCTTCGCGGAACTCGTCGATGAGCGATAGGCGACCGCGCTTGAATTCGTTGTACCAATTATAAATTGTCCGAAGACTTGGTACTTCATCGCCAAAGGCCAAATGAAGTTGATCAAAACACTGTTGTTGTGATACACCCAATCGAAAGTGGAAAAAAATAATCGCTCGAAAATTTTCACGAGTAAAATTCATTTTTTGGTGAGACGCAATTTACATGTTACGGTAAACAATACAAATAACGATCGAATGACAAAACGTTCTGAGAACGTTTATGCTACAAAATGTTAAACTTAACGAATATGACAATGGTTTGCATCGGGCAATACTAAAACATACATATTGAAGAAACTTAAATAGTTGCCTATGTATAATATAAATATATTTAAGCAATAAATAATTGTTGGAGCAAATTCATCCATTATCGGGCATATGTTGTCTGGAGTGGTTCGATTTTGACATTTTTTCAAGAATCAAAAATCGTACCCCTATAACCTATGTAGGAAGGTCATAGAAACATGAATGTCGCAGCGTGTCTGTAAGTAAACATGAATGTCATAGTGACCAAATGACCAAGAGCATGGCAGCTATATGTGCAAATATATGTGCATCACGCTCATTATCAAATATATATGTGCATCAATTCAAAATAATAATTCCACAAATAAAGAATATTAAATGCAATAAATGACGTATAAAAGAGTTCTTCTGCAGAGTTTTAAATTAAATTACGCAAATCTCTTTCAGAATAAATTGTTTATTTTTTTATTTGAGCGTAAGATTTAGATTTTCAATTTAAAACTTAATGTATTGGGTTGATGAAATATTATTGGAAGTGAAAGAAACAAGTGGATCCATTCCATTGAAATTCGTGGAAACTATGCATATGATAATATTTTTCCTGTCGACCGATATTAGATTAATTGACGGCCTAAGAAGAAAACAATAACATACAGAATATTCTGCAAAA